TCAGAGGCTCTCTCTCTGTCTAAATCACTGTCTGTCATCAAACTATAGAATTTTTCTGAAACTGACTTCAATATGAAACTATTACTGTCATTGATGTCGCATTGCACTTTTCCATTTTCAGACGAATCTGCATCTTCTACATTTATCATTGTTACAACGGTGTTAGGCTTCGCATCTTCTGATATAACATTTGATTTAGACATGATATGAATGTCGGGGCGGTTGTCATTCGTGTCTATTACATCAGCTATTAATTTGCATGAACCACTTAAACCTCCGTCATCACTCGCTCGAATATTAATCTGAAAAGTTCTGGTTTTCTCATAATCAACCTTTCCAATCAAAGTGACCTCACCGCTTCTTTTATTGATTTCAAAAATACCATTGGCATGATCTAGCATAGCTGAAATTGAATAAGTTATTCTGCCATTAGACCCGTCATCTGCATCAGTTGCAGTAACTGTCCCTACAACAGTTCCGACTGGTGCATTTTCCTTTATAAATGCTTTATAAACGGGCTGTGTAAAAACGGGAGCATTGTCATTAGCGTCTAAAACATTAATGTGAATCTGCATCGTTCCCGTCATCCGCGGCTCGCCACCATCCACCGCCGTCAGAACCAAACGTAGGTGTTCATTTTTCTCTCTGTCCAGCGGTGCATTCAGAACCATCTCCACGTTTTTACTACCCTGTCCCTGATTATTTATTTTCAGAGAAAATATATCACTTGGTTTAAGAGCATATGCTTTTAAACTATTTTCGCCCACATCAAGATCGGTCGCCCGATCTAAAACGAATGCTGTGCCACTCAGCGCAGATTCGCTTATATTAAATTGTGCCTCGTTAGTGATGAAAGTCGGAGGATTGTCATTTATATCTGTGATTTCAACAGTGACACTATAAAATTCCATCGGATTTTCTAATAAAATCTGAAAATGTAAAGCGCAAGGCGTCATTTGTCCACACAGCGCCTCCCTGTCTATCCTTTCTTTAAGTAGGAGAATCCCCCTTTCGCTGTTTAGCTCGATGTAAGCTGTGTTGTCTCGAGTAAAAACCCGAGCCCTGCCGGATTTCAGTCTTTGGATGTCTAAACCTAAATCCTGAGCTATGTTACCAACGAAAGAGCCTTTCGCCATTTCCTCAGGAATAGAGTAGCTGACCTGTCCGACAGCTGCACTGAGGGAGAGGACCGAAATGAACAATAGTACTTGCCGTCTCGCTGTTATTCCTGCCATCATCAAAATATCCATATGTAAACCCTTTGTCCCGATTCACGTTAACTGAACAGAAATCCGTAACAGAAAGCCCAAGGTTTATGTATCTGCGTTCGGTTACATTCCCACAAACGGTTTTTTATTGAATCTCTGAGCTGTGCTTCTCGACAAAATAGAAGGAGATGATGGGAGGTACTACTACACATCAGCGACGAACTGATACATCCTGGTCAACAGCGTCCCTCTGAGTTCAAAGTAAAAAATACATAAGAATTACTCATGAAAACTGAAGAGTAATGTTTAGGTAGAAATGAAATTGCTGTATAAGGACTGATTATAATACGATAAACAAAACTTAGAATGAGGAAATCCATCTCCATTAAATAAGAAAGAGCAATGAGCGAGCCTATTTTGAACAGGTGATTGAGATAGAAATGAGAATGTTTTCAAATACTGAAAGATGTTTTGAACCTAGAGTGAGAATAGGCGAGAATAATATGTTTCCATCAATAAAACTCTGTATACCTGAAATTACAATCAATACCGAGAACTAGAAACAATATAAAGGCTAGACATTAAAAACAAACAAAATAAAAAACAACAACAAACAATTTAAATGAAAACGAAAATCTCCTTAGGTTAAATCTATGAAATAAGTTACAAAGGTAATCTCTGTCCATGGTTCTGACTGAAGACGGAAAAAGAATCACAACCACGTTACATATTAAAACGGGCCTGCATTTGCTACGGAAATGAAACTAAAATAACCAACCTCCAGAGGAGAGTCTGGTTCATCCAGGATGCTCTTTTCACTCTGTATCCGCTGCATCGTTCCTGTAGAACTGGGGTCCATTATCAGCACGTTCTGACTACCAGCTCTGCCGAACTTACAGTCACTCTTTCTGGAGTCAGTCGTCCTGCACACCTCGTAGTTGTACACATGGGGCAGAGTCCCTGTCCCCAAAGTGTCTGAGTAACGTGGTGGATAATATGGAATGACAGGCAGGTTGGAGTGATACAGGATGCGAGACTGTCTCCACCTGTAGATTTTGACTGATATAATAACCACTAAACACGTGATGAAGAGGAAGGAAACTACAGCCAGAGCCAAGACTAAGTAAAAAGTCAAGTTGTCATTGTACTCCTTGTCGTGGGTCAACTCAGTGAACTCCGACAGCACTTCAGGGAAGCTGTCCGCCACCGCCACGTTAACAACGACTGTAGCTGAACGAGAGGGCTGCCCGTTGTCCTCCACTATAACAGTCAGTCTTTGTTTGACAGCATCTTTATCAGTGACTTGGCGGATAGTTCTGATTTCTCCATTCTGTAAGCCCACTTCAAACAGCGCCCTGTCTGTGGCTTTCTGCAGTTTATAGGAGAGCCAGGCATTCTGTCCAGAGTCCACATCAACAGCCACCACTTTAGTCACCAGATAGCCCACATCTGCTGAACGAGGCACCATTTCAGCCACCAGAGAGCCACCAGTCTGAACTGGGTACAGAACCTGAGGGGGGTTGTCGTTCTGGTCTTGGATCATTATTTTCACAGTCACGTTGCTGCTGAGTGGAGGAGAGCCTCCATCCTGCGCTCTTACGCGGAAGTGGAAATCTTTGATCTGCTCGTAGTCAAAAGAGCGCACTGCATGGATGACTCCACTATCTGCACTAACGGACACATACGAGGAGACTGGCACTCCGTTAACGGAGGAGTCCTCCAGTATGTAAGAAACACGGGCATTCTGGTTCCAGTCAGCGTCTGTGGCTTTCACTGTGAATATAGAGAGACTTGGTGTATTGTTTTCTACAATGTAGGCCTCATATGAGCTCCTCTCAAAGACAGGTGCGTTATCATTAATGTCTGAGATCTGTAAGGTGAGAGTGACGCTGCTGGAGAGGGAGGGCACTCCCTCATCAGAGCAGGTCACAGTGATGTTATACTCAGAGGCTCTCTCTCTGTCTAAATCACTGTCTGTTACTAAGGTATAGAAATTATTAGATGTGGATTTCAACACGAAAGGAATATTATCACTTATAAAACATTGAACTTTACCATATTCATCTGAGTCTGGGTCTTGAATGTTAATCATTGTAACAACTGTGTTGGGCTTTGCACTCTCTGATATAATTGTTGATTTAGACATAATTTTAATCGTTGGTTCATTGTCATTTATATCAACGACATCGACAATAACTTTGCAAGAATCAGTGAGTCCTCCGTTATCCCTTGCCCGTACATTGATTTGGAAATGTCTTTTCTTTTCATAATCCAACCGCCCAATCAATTTAACTTCACCGTTTTCATCGTTTATTTCAAACATATGTCTGACGTCATCCAAAGTATTTGTGATTGAATATGTTATTTTACCATTCAATCCATGATCAGCATCTGAAGCACGAACAGAAGTCACAGTTGTGCCTTTTGTAGCATTTTCGGATACAGTGCCTTTGTATACCTGCTGCGTAAAAACGGGTGCGTTGTCATTGGCATCTAACACTGAAATAAAAATCTGCATTGTTCCTGACATCTGTGGCTCTCCTCCATCTACAGCGGTCAACACTAACGCAATGAAATCATTTTTCTCTCTGTCCAAGGGCTTTTGTAAGACCATTTCAACATTTTTTGTACCGTCAGCTTGGTTGTGCAATTTAAGCATAAAATTATCGCTTGGTTTGAGGACATAACTTTGGAGAGTGTTTGTACCCACATCCAAATCTACAGCTCTTTCTAAATCAAATATAGCCCCAACAACAGCAGACTCACTAATGATGAATTTAATTTCATTTTTTTCAAACGTTGGCGGATTATCATTAATGTCTGTTATTTCAACTGTAACACTGTAAAACTCCATAGGATTTTCTAACACAATCTGAAAATGCACAGCGCACGGCGTCGTGTCACCGCATAACGCCTCTCTGTCTATTCGCTCTCTGATTAGAAGGACTCCTCTCTCGGCGTTTAACTCGACGTATTCTCTGCTATCACCGGAATAAACACGAGCGTTGCCCAGCTTTAGCCTTTTAACATCTAAGCCTAAATCCTGAGCTATATTTCCAACTAAGGTACCTTTCGCCATTTCCTCCGGAACAGAGTAACTGACCTGCCCGAAAGCATCACAAACAACCAAAAGTAAAATAAACAGCTGTACTTGCCGTCTCATTTTGTGTATGTGGGTCGTTAAGATTAAAAGAAAGATTCCTAAAAATCCCTTTGGATGGCAGACCGACAATCACAATTAATACGAAGAAAAACAATCCTCAGAACGAAAGGAAAATTGTTACAATTTGCGTCGCCTTTGTGCATACCCGCCTGACAAACGAAGACAATGCGGTCGGTCCTGCAGTTTCTCTCTAATACACCGAAAAGGAGAGGCGGCTCACCAGAAAATATACCACAACTGCAACAAAGAAGGCAACAGCGGCCCATTGAGTTCAAAAAGCAAAATTACAGGAGAAATGATGACACATAACAAAAGCGTGAATACCCAGAAAGTCACTCAATTTTAAATGTTGTGTATAACATTTTTGTTTTATAAAAACTGTCCAAAATAAAAGACAAATCCCACAAAAGTTGAAAACGAGCCTCAAATCATGTTAAATACGTAAACTAAATGATATACTTATACATGTTGCTCTCCAAGGTGCTGAAAAAAAGACTAACGAAAATAACAAGTTATATTGCGCCGTTTGTGATGTAATATTAATTCTAACCTCTAGAGGAGAGTCTGGTTCATCCAGGATGCTCTTTTCACTCTGTATCCGCTGCATCGTTCCTGTAGAACTGGGGTCCATTATCAGCACGTTCTGACTACCAGCTCTGCCGAACTTACAGTCACTCTTTCTGGAGTCAGTCGTCCTGCACACCTCGTAATTGTACACATGTGGCAGAGTCCCTGTCCCCAAAGTGTCTGAGTAACGTGGTGGATAATATGGAATGACAGGCAGGTTGGAGTGATACAGGATGCGAGACTGTCTCCACCTGTAGATTTTGACTGATATAATAACCACTAAACACGTGATGAAGAGGAAGGAAACTACAGCCAGAGCCAAGACTAAGTAAAAAGTCAGGTTGTCATTGTACTCCTTGTCGTGGGTCAACTCAGTGAACTCCGACAGCACTTCAGGGAAGCTGTCCGCCACCGCCACGTTAACAATGACTGTAGCTGAACGAGAGGGCTGCCCGTTGTCCTCCACTATAACAGTCAGTCTTTGTTTGACAGCATCTTTATCAGTGACTTGGCGGATAGTTCTGATTTCTCCATTCTGTAAGCCCACTTCAAACAGCGCCCTGTCTGTGGCTTTCTGCAGTTTATAGGAGAGCCAGGCATTCTGTCCAGAGTCCACATCAACAGCCACCACTTTAGTCACCAGATAGCCCACATCTGCTGAACGAGGCACCATTTCAGCCACCAGAGAGCCACCAGTCTGGACTGGGTACAGAACCTGAGGGGGGTTGTCGTTCTGGTCTTGGATCATTATTTTCACAGTCACGTTGCTGCTGAGTGGAGGAGAGCCTCCATCCTGCGCTTTTACGCGGAAGTGGAATCTTTGATCTGCTCGTAGTCAAAAGAGCGCACTGCATGGATGACTCCACTATCAGCACTAACGGACACATACGAGGAGACTGGCACTCCGTTAACGGAGGAGTCCTCCAGTATGTAAGAAACACGGGCATTCTGGTTCCAGTCAGCGTCTGTGGCTTTGACTGTGAATATAGAGAGACCTGGTGTGTTGTTTTCTACAATGTAGGCCTCATATGAGCTCCTCTCAAAGACAGGTGCGTTATCATTAACGTCTGAGATCTGTAAGGTGAGAGTGACGCTGCTGGAGAGGGAGGGCACTCCCTCATCAGAGCAGGTCACAGTGATGTTATATTCAGAGGCTCTCTCTCTGTCTAAATCACTGTCTGTTATAATGCTGTAAAAATTACTGGATGTAGAAGTAATTGCAAATGGTGTGTTTTTATTAATCGTACACTCGACTTTACCATTTACGTCGGAATCAGGATCATTAACACTCATTACAGCTACCACTGTGCCCGAAGGAGAATTTTCTCCTATTGAAATTGACGACGATATTATTTTTATAACTGGACTGTTGTCATTAATGTCTCCTACATCAATAATGACTTTGCTCGAATCAGACAGTCCTCCTCTGTCCACTGCCTCTACGTAAATCTCATACTTTTGGGCTTTTTCATAATCAAGAGGGGCATTTAGTACAAGATGCCCGTCTTCCGTAATGACGAATACATTTGAAAGGCCCCTCATGCTATTTCCAATTACGTAGCTAACCTCCCCATTAGAGCCTTTATCTGCATCGGAGGCGCTCACTTTGGTAATGACTGTCCCGTTGACTGAGTTCTCTTTGATTTCAGCTTTGTAAACGGTTTGTGTAAAAACAGGGGCGTTATCATTAACGTCTAACACTGTAATATGAATCTGCATAGTCCCAGACCTTTGAGGCTCTCCTCCATCAACAGCTGTTAAGAACAATGATGCATACTCCTGCTTCTCTCTGTCTAGAGACTTCTGTAAAATCATCTCGACCTTTTTACCACCATCAGACTGACTGTTCATTTTAAGTATAAAATTGTCGTTGGGCTTCAATGTATAGCTCTGAAGACCATTTAATCCTATATCTGGATCTATTGCTTTTTCTAGCATGAATTTAGAACCGACGACTGCAGACTCGCTGATTTCAAAGCGCCTCTCTTCCCTTTCAAATACGGGAGCGTTGTCATTAATGTCTGTGATTACTACAGTGACGGGAAATATTTCTATTGGATTTTCTAAAGCAATTTGAAAATGTAAAGCACAAGGCGTCGTCTGGCCACAGAGAGCCTCGCGGTCTATTTTTTCTTTGATGACGAGTAGTCCCTTTTCCTTGTTAAGCTGAAGATACTCTGCATTGTCTCCGGTGTGGATACGAGCTCTGCCGGCTTGTAATCGTTTAACATCTAAACCCAAATCCTGAGCTATATAACCGACTAAAGAGCCTTTCGCCATTTCCTCGGGGATAGAGTAGCTGACCTGGCCGAACACAAAACGAGGAAAGACGACCAAGAAAAACAACAGTACTTGCCCTTTCATTGTTCTGTTAAGCACATCCGTCGAACAGAACTAATGTTCTCTCTTTGTTTCGCAATCCGCGTTACAGAGCAAAAATTAAATGTACAGCTAAGTTTTGATGAATTAAAATCCAACGATATGGTTATTCCATGAAGATTATTCGTGCCTTCTACCTTATGCACTACAGTGTATTCCGCATGCACACGAGTCCTTCGCTCTTTGAGAGGACGGAGGATGTGCCGTGTTTCAAATAATTTAAAAACATGCTGGCGCTGGTCAACAGCGGCCCACTGAGTTCAAAACTCGAAAGTGCAATTTTCAGGATTTACAAGTCTCTCTAACACTACACCTATAAATTTTAGCGAAAATACCAGACAAAACACATTAATGATTCCGTTTTAATTACAAATAAGATAATACTAAATTAGACAACGAGTTCCCTTATTGATAAAATATTAATTCAATACGAAACTACTCAACTGAACTGTAAGCAAAATAGGACAAGGATTAGGGAAAAAAAGATACACAATAATAAAAGCGATAATCCCTTCGCTATCCAAGGTACTGAAATTACTTGGACAGGTAGTAAAAACAGCGGGGAATAGTATTGTATAGGTTTATCAGAATTTAAAGAGTCTAACCTCTAGAGGAGAGTCTGGTTCATCCAGGATGCTCTTTTCACTCTGTATCCGCTGCATCGTTCCTGTAGAACTGGGGTCCATTATCAGCACGTTCTGACTACCAGCTCTGCCGAACTTACAGTCACTCTTTCTGGAGTCAGTCGTCCTGCACACCTCGTAATTGTACACATGTGGCAGAGTCCCTGTCCCCAAAGTGTCTGAGTAACGTGGTGGATAATATGGAATGACAGGCAGGTTGGAGTGATACAGGATGCGAGACTGTCTCCACCTGTAGATTTTGACTGATATAATAACCACTAAACACGTGATGAAGAGGAAGGAAACTACAGCCAGAGCCAAGACTAAGTAAAAAGTCAGGTTGTCATTGTACTCCTTGTCGTGGGTCAACTCAGTGAACTCCGACAGCACTTCAGGGAAGCTGTCCGCCACCGCCACGTTAACAACGACTGTAGCTGAACGAGAGGGCTGCCCGTTGTCCTCCACTATAACAGTCAGTCTTTGTTTGACAGCATCTTTATCAGTGACTTGGCGGATAGTTCTGATTTCTCCATTCTGTAAGCCCACTTCAAACAGCGCCCTGTCTGTGGCTTTCTGCAGTTTATAGGAGAGCCAGGCATTCTGTCCAGAGTCCACATCAACAGCCACCACTTTCGTCACCAGATAGCCCACATCTGCTGAACGAGGCACCATTTCAGCCACCAGAGAGCCACCAGTCTGGACTGGGTACAGAACCTGAGGGGGGTTGTCGTTCTGGTCCTGGATCATTATTTTCACAGTCACGTTGCTGCTGAGTGGAGGAGAGCCTCCATCCTGCGCTTTACGCGGAAGTGGAAGTCTTTGATCTGCTCGTAGTCAAAAGAGCGCACTGCATGGATGACTCCACTATCAGCACTAACGGACACATATGAGGAGACTGGCACTCCGTTAACGGAGGAGTCCTCCAGTATGTAAGAAACACGGGCATTCTGGTTCCAGTCAGCGTCTGTGGCTTTGACTGTGAATATAGAGAGACCTGGTGTGTTGTTTTCTACAATGTAGGCCTCATATGAGCTCCTCTCAAAGACAGGTGCGTTATCATTAACGTCTGAGATCTGTAAGGTGAGAGTGACGCTGCTGGAGAGGGAGGGCACTCCCTCATCAGAGCAGGTCACAGTGATGTTATACTCAGAGGCTCTCTCTCTGTCTAAATCACTGTCTGTTACTAAGGTATAGAAATTATTTTCCGTTGATTGTAATATGAACGGAATATTTTCATTTATTGTGCAGCTGACTTTGCCATTCTCGCTGTCGTCTATGTCTTGAATATTAATTATTGTCACTACAGTGTTGCTTTTGATATCTTCAGATATAACATTTGTTTCAGACATTATATTAATAATGGGGTGATTATCGTTCACATCTATAACGTCAACTATTACTTTGCATGTGTCCGTTAGTCCTCCGTCATCACTTGCACGCACATTTATCCGATAATTGTTTGACTTTTCGTAGTCAATATTTCCTGTTAATCTAACCTCGCCCGTGTGTTCATTTACCTCAAACAACTGTCTGACATCGTCTAAAGTATTTCTGATCGAATACGTTATTCGTCCATTTGATCCGTAATCAGCATCTGATGCACTGACTATAGTTACAACTGTGCCTCTTGGTGAATTTTCTGCGACATTAGCTTTGTATACCGACTTCGTGAAAACGGGTGCATTATCATTAACATCTAACACCGTGATCTGAATCTGCATTGTCCCTGACAGCTGAGGTTCTCCTCCATCTACGGCCGTCAACACTAAAGATAAATGTTCATTTTTCTCTCTATCAAGAGGCTGTTTTAAAACCATCTCAACATTTCGGGAGCCGTCTGCCTGATTGTGTAATTT